GAGGCATAGTTGTTGTTATTGTAGTGAGGTTAGATCAGATATTAGCTCTAGCTTTTGGTTTTGCCAGAGGAATATTAGAGCATAAACATTAAAGCATATTCTTTGTTCGAAAAAAATTTTCTTAAGCACAAAAACTGTATTTGGGAAAATTATCCAAATGGTGAAAGTTAAAAATGGCAGTATTGTGCTTGCTAATGGTAACAAATGCTGATTTGTATACAGCGGGACGAATCAGCAGATGAGTTAAATGAAGGATCACCAAGTGGTGTGAGGAGGTTTACATTACCTAGCCCGAAGAGGACGGAAATCTCTCCCTTGAAGAAATATGAATTTAAAAAATTTACCACGAGGAGAAAGCCCACGAAATGGAGTGCATTGGAAGAAGACACCTTGAGAACTGGTGTACAGAAGTACGTAGAATCTCATACTTCCATTTAACTTTAAAGAAGTGTCAACACAAGGTTTAGCCCTCTAAATGTTTTCTTTTTGTAGGTATGGTTCCGGAAACTGGACGCACATCTTAAATACTTATCGTGACATATTTGTAGTGAGGACTGCGGTAAGTGCAGTCTCATGCTGCTAGTAATATATATGTCTTTTAATACTCTTACTTATGAAGTCCGGACAATTTTGTTCAGGGTGACTTGAAGGACAAGTGGAGAAACATGATGTCGTAGAGATTTATTTTGAAGAAATTTGCTAACATATGTGCCTTTTGTTTTGTTTAGCAGAGGTATGGCCTTGTATATATTTTTTGTATCATGTAAATGTCAAGCTGTTCCTATGTATCTTGTTCGATGCATAAAATTTCAGATGAATATTGTTGTATATCATTCATGGAAAGTGACAACAAAAAAAAGCTATCAAGGGTCTGCCCAAATTTTGTTGCAGAATTTGTTTTTTGTCTGCCTTTATTTTTGCATGAAAAGCTTATGGTCCCCAACCTCTCCTAATTCCTCATCACACCCAGAAGATAAGAGGAGGAGCAGCCTTGTTTTGCTGACATTTTGAAGTAGATGTGCCACTTGTTTTAAAAAGAAGACGACAACAAGCCCGAAATATGTTTTCTTTCATTCATTTCTTACCATCAGCTTTCAGTGTCCTTTAGCTTCACAATTTAATACAACAGGCTACCTTCACAGAGTATCTCAATTCTCAACAGATGCAAAGGCTGGATTATTACTATGAAAGATGAGTACCGTCTGCCTCGATTACTTCTGGGTTGCAGTGTGGTGGTTCCATCGAATTCTAAAAGCAGCTCAAGCCAATCCTATAATGGTAACTCGATTTTAAACAGCTATCTGCTAATAGTTCTTGCAGCTCTGCTACTTGCTCTGCTATGTGCCCTTGACCTGAGGGCAATCATACGTTCTGTTTTACGATACAACACGAGATTTCCCTTAGAGTCCACAGAAGCTGCTACGTCACATTTGGCATCCAATGGATTGGACAAGGGTGAGTTGAAAAAGATAGCAGTGATGGTTTACGAGCCAGGAATGAGGACGTTTTCTGCTACAGATTGTCCAATATGCCTCGGAGAATTTGAACAAGGAGAAAAGTTGAGAATGTTGCCAAGATGCAATCATGGCTTTCATGTCAAGTGCATCGATGAATGGTTTTCGTCGCATTCATCGTGTCCAACTTGCAGGCAACCATTGGTTCTACACGATGTTGAATCCAAAACTTAGACGTTGCGGAGTTTGAGTTGAGCTAAAGAATGAGTTTTAAAATGTATATCTAACTGTCTATATCTGTTATCTGCACATATATATGGTATTCGACCGTAAGTATGGAGTTCAAATATCTCAATAATCAATCTTAGTTGAAATCAATTGTATGAATCATTGCCGTTAGGGGGCGGCTCAAGCACATATGTAACCCAAAGTCAAAATTTAATGTGAGGCATAAATATTTTTAAAAAAATTATAATATATATAATTTTATTTGAAGTCTACTTTTCTAGCTTATTGAAATACAAAGTTGTTAATAAACTTTTTATAATTGATTTGTTTTCAATTAAAAATATAGCCAATTTAATTAATACTCATTTATTAAGAAGTTGTTGATCTTAAATAAGATTATATCAATTTTAAATATGAAAAATTCTTTTCGATGAGGCAATTGTTATAAGAACTGTTAACATTATTCTATAAGCATTTGGAAACGAGTCAAGTCTTTTTATTTAATTAAGTAAATCAACTAAATTATTATACTGCTGATCAATTTAGGCTGGTCAGTCCATTATTATCTAAAATATTTAAAATTAAAAATTCACATAAAAATAATTATTTCTATCACGTTTGAATCATTGCAAGAATTATATAAAGCTTACGTCTACACTTCTCATGACGTCTAAAATCAATTCTGGTCCACCTGGATGACAGGAATAAAAAACTATTATGTTGTCTGGCTATCGTTTTTCATTTTTAAAATGAAAATACTACTGTCCCAAATGACTCATATTATCTCGTCAAATCAGAATCGATATTAATCTTCTTCCTTATCCTAACTTCTGGATAACGAATTAATTGTAGAGCAGCAGGATCCACGTAACGTAACGGGCCGTTTGGTACATGGGATATTGATAATAATCTCGGGTCTAAAATTAACTTTATTACATGTTTGATTGGTGGTATTGGCTAATTTCGGGATAACTTTTACACTCTCGTTTGGTACGAGTAATAAAGAATAATTAATTCCGGGATTAAATTTGAGATAAGTTTATCACACGTCTGATTCATTGAGATAAAATCATAGTATTATTAATCCCGGAATTATAGTACTCCCTCCGTTTCAATTTATGTGAACCTATTTTCTTTTTGGTCCGTGTCAAAAAGAATGACCTCTTTCCTTATTTGGAAACAATTTACTTTTATGCATGATTTATAGCCACACAAAATATATGTGCCTCATTTTACATCACAAGTTCAAAAGTCTTCTCTATTTTCTTAAACTCCGTGCCCAATCAAATAAGTTCACATAAATTGAAACGGAGGGAGTATTATTTTTATCCTATAAGAGGATGTGATAACAATCACGACACTTCTGACAGCTGGCACTTATTATGATAGAAAAAAATATAATATTTCAATAGTACTGATAGACTTTGAAGTTTGAACTTATTGCTAAAACAGGAAATGTTTTCTTGCATTTAATTCTTACCAGTTTTTATCAGCAGAAAAAGAAAAGTCTTACCAGCTTTCTACATCATTCTCTGCATTTATATTAAAGCTTCATCTTGTGATTTCCACACTTTACGTTTCCAGTTTTTCTCTCAAGAAAATGCCAAGATTTCTATTATGAGAGATGAGTACGGTATGTTAGAATTATGTAATCGCCTCATTTTGAATTACTTAATTATATTATGTCTCAATAATGTCTGCTTCGTTTTCTTCAGGGTTATAGTGTGTGGGTGCAATCCAACCATACGAACAGATCAAGCCAATTAAACAACAACAACAACTCAATTTCAAATAGTTGTCTGCTAATAGTTCTTGCAACTTTGCTATTTGCGCTGCTAATTGCCCTCGTGTTGAGGGCAATTATACGTTGTGTCGTAAGACACAACGGAAGATTTCCATTTGAATCTGCAGAAGCTTCACTTGCGCGTTTGTCGTCAAATGGATTGGTTAAAAGTGAATTGACAAAGATTCCAGTGATAGTATACGAGCAACGACAGAAGATGTTATCTGCTACTGCAGAATGTCCAATATGCCTTGGAGAATTTCAACAAGGAGAAAAATTGAGGATTTTGCCAAATTGTAATCATGGTTTTCATGTTCAATGCATAGACAAATGGTTTTCATCGCATTCTTCGTGTCCAACTTGCAGGCAAATATTATTTCTAGTTTAAATAAGTACAAAAGAATTTTTACATTGCCATGAAATTTCCTGTTGTAGTAGGAGGTTATCTGCTTTATTTTTCAGGTTATAGTATTATTTTCAAATCCTGAACAGTGACTTGTAGTATCTTTTAGGTGATATGATATTGTTATAAAAATATTATTTTATATTTTCGTATATAGAAGTTAAACCCTTGATATAAGCCTTGTTCTATGACAGAGGAAACTTTCAAGCTCCTTTCTTATCATTATTCTTGTGGCATCAATTGATCACATTGATAAGTGGCAAAGCCAGTATTTTTATTACGAGGATTCAAAAATTTAAAAAGTAAATACGTAAAAAAAATCAAGGAAT